TGATTGTTGTCAGTAGAATGTTCTTATTCCAGTTCGTGTGAAATGATCGGTTGGTTTTGCCGTGATGTTATTGGCTGTAAGACTCAAGTGACGTAAGTCGGTCGTGATTGGTCTGTTTCGATCTGTCGGTAAAGTTAGGTCGTTCTTTTTCGGTCGTTTGTGATGTTTATGTCGTGAATGAGTCGTTTGTATGGGGCGGGTAGTTGTTGACATCTGTTTAGGGGAGTCTGTTCTAAGTTAGTAAACCAGCTTTCCAGAGTCAGTCGTTGAAAATAGTCAGTGCTGTAGGTTAGGCATTGCGCAGAGTCCCAGTCAATGTTGTGGTTGGTAAGTCGATGGTGTTCAGCAATGTGATTGCTGACATCACCTTTCCTCGTCGCCCGTCTGTGTTCAGTCAGTCTTGTTGTGAGGTTTCTGCCAGTCTCACCGATGTAGGAGGCTTGGCAGTCGGAACAATTGATCTTATAAATCGTTCCCTGTCTGTTCCTCGGTTCGTCTTTGTCTTTAAAGACGTCTTTTAAATCATTTCACACGAACTGGAATAAGAACATTCTACTGACAACAATCATTCACTTGACTCTGATGATGACTTCCGCACAGGTTGTCGAAACGTCGGTCACTACCACCGACAACAGTCCTTCTCAGGACTACACTCACCCGGACGATCAGACTACACCTTCATATGTGTATCTCCGTGAACAGTGCCATAGGTAGTTATTTTTTACGTCACGTGGTCTCTGCATTTTATCGAGAGAAAATTTTGCATTTTTTTGGTTTTACTTATAGAGAACTGATTTTCTTTTTTTTCTTTTTAATTACTATTTTCACTTTATTTTTACTCTTTTAATTAATAATTTTTAATTATTTATTCAAACTTATTATTTTTAATTATTATGTAATCTTTTTTTCAATTTATTATTTTTTGGTCATTCCGGGAATTCCGGGTATTCCGGATATTCCGGCATTCCTTATTTTCCAAACTACCGCTGATAGTTGCCCCGCGGAAATTTTATGTTCTTAAAACAAATATGCTAGTTTTAAAAACATCAAATTTCCAAGGGGCAACTATCAGACCGATAGTTCCGAGACATAAACACTCCATTGTCTTTATTGTTCACTACTAAATTTTCTTCCGCGCGCCAGTTTAAAAACAATCAATAATTGTTACGATCGAGTAAAAGCTCCATTAACCAGTACTGTTTACAATTACAGCCACTTACCACCCCTTCCTGAGTGATAACATTCTTCCCCACCCCTCCCTCAGTACTTGTTGACTGCACCCACCCCTCCCTGAGTACTAAAGGTGTGTCTCCCCCCTTATAAAATGGTCCAAAAAATCGTCCAAAAAATAGTCCAGTCCAGTCGTTATTTTACCCTATGCCGTTCAGCGCTATAATTAACTTTGATAATTAACTTGGTTTTTCACTTGCCCGCTGACATAACCTAAGCGTTTCTTTCAAAGCTAATGTCTTTACCAAATTTTACAGAGAATTGACTTGAAGTTACATAGGAATAAGACCTTGATTAAGGATAACTTGTTACGTTGACATAAAACATATACCGGGTGCATGCGAAAAACAAACGTGTCCCAACCCAGAATTGAGTACAACAATTTGCATGTTGACAGAAGGTTAAAGTTTTAATTTTCATCTTGTTTGTTTAAGCCCTCATCTTCAAGTGTCCATAAATAAAGTTATTAAAAGGAATAAAATCCCTTTGGAACCTCCTGTGAAGAGAGTCTTAACCAACAGATCGAAAGTCGTGGCGTGAGGGATTAGTCCACTGTCTAACAACGAAATTAATTTAGACGAGAAAGCTAACTTCGTTAATTAGCGGACAAATTTAATAAAATCAAATTCGACCTTCTTTGTTGCATACAGGCTAGAAATCGCAAAGGGTGTGTTACCATGGAGACTAAAACAATGGACGTTTCTTTTCTCAATTTGACTTTACCCTTGGGATTACTAGTTACAAAAGTTTATAACCGATTACAAAAAATGCCTTTAAAAATGCAAGTGAATTAGAATAATAGTGGTTCACTTTTATTCGGGCGTTAGGCTTTTGTTTTCGGTTTCCGTCACCCCTTTCTCCTTTTGCGCTTTGCCGGCAAGATATTTCTTAAGATCATTTGCATAACACTCAAGTGCTTCGTAAACGCGTCTTCCTACAGTTGCGTAGGCGAGTCAATATTTGATTTGAAGTAAACGATGAGCAATAACGATCTAATTTTTATATGAACTCTCTGTTTACTACAAAAGATTAGTTTTTTAGTGACGACTAGTTTAGAAGTGCGTCTACGGCTGTGGGCGAAAGAACGCAGTTTTCTCCACCGCTTGGTATTAGAAGCTCTTCTTCACAGATCATGAACAAAACCGCCATAAGAAAACAAAACAAGTCAAAAGAAGGAAAGAAACTCCAGGAGTTTGAAGTCTTTTCTAAATTCGGGGATCTCACCACCAAAAACAAATGTACACCCACCAGCCTCTTCGGCAGTTACGAAAATGTTGCATTGCCCCGGAGTAAGATTCGTTCAGCCGTGGAAAAACCACTGAAAATTCGCAGAAAGTCAGTACACACAGAGGCTCTGGATGCTCGATTAGTTCAGAGACAGAGAGAAAACTTAGATTACACAGACGTTTTCGTTACCGAGACCGACCTTGAAAAATCCACCAGAGAACGCTTAATACGAAAGGTAAAACAACAGAACTGGGCTGACAGCGAAAGATCATCTCATCATGAGAACGCATTATCGACCCCGAGTATGTTAGGAAGGAAAATGGGTGTTGCAGCACCTCTCCATGGCACACGCTTGAAAACTGGAAATTTAATCGCCTTTGCACCTAGAGTACAATACTGCGATCGATTGGTACACGTGGGCAAGGATAAGTATTCGAAACAGTTCTGTGATGTTCTTGGTCCCAACTTGTGCACTGACTGCACGAAGTCACAGATGCAACAGTTTGTTATCGACGAACAAATCCGAAGATTCCCGGACATTTGTGTCTCGCCATATGTTTTGTGTGTCCCGCAAGAAAGCGAAAGGGACCTCAAAACCCCATTCTCCGTCTACAAGGAATGTGATCCACTACAACGCAGAAGACCTTGGCCTGCCTCTTTAACCCACCACTTGCAAGGTCTTAAAACGCGTCCAAATAGTTGCACTGATGAAAAGTCAAGGTCGTATGATTCTAAGTACGCTACAGATTACATTCCAAGCGAGAGCCAGAACTGCATTCCACATATACCCTTAGAAATTGGACATCGTCTGGAGTCTCCATTTTCATCGGTCGGCAGTTCTCGAAGATCAAGTATTACAAGGTTCTTAATGGAATCAAAAAATTTTGAAGTGCGTACAAAGAGTGAAAATTCAGCCGAAGATGGAAAAATGGACGTTTTTCAGATCTCACTGCGAGGAATAATTCCACCTGCGTTTCGTAGTCCCATGGCTGACTATAATGATGGAGGCGAGGGCAGCCTCGAAGCTAACTGTTTCGGTAAAAGGGGCAGGATATCTCATTCTTCCTCAAGGCTGAACATAACAAGATCAAGAAGTTCAATGTGCAAGACCCCCTCCATTGAAAGAACCGGAAAGCTCAGGGAGTTGCCTTACTGGAAGATTTTGATACCCGAGCCACCCATGATGGAAGTCGGGCGGATGAATGTCAGCATTTATACACCAAAACAAATCCCAGGAATCAAGATTTTTGATGAAAGTTTTTTTGAAATTTGAGTGCGTGAACTTTAACATCTAGCAACTTTAAGCTGTTTAAAGAGTAAATGGGTTTGTTCAAGACAAGAAACAAATAGATCAAGAAACTACTCACTTATGGGTCGATCACTTGCAGTTTCAACATCTCCCCGGGCATTCGAACTTTTGAAGATTTGTTTGTTCAATTTCTCTCTCCCCCCTCCCCCCCCCCCCCGGGGAAAAGATCGTGTTCAAATGTCAAATCAGCGACCGCGGCTTTCAAGAGGATCTCAATGGAGTTAACCGTCAACCGTCAGAATATTAAATATTAAATATTAATATTAGGTTACAATATCAAGCTTCAACCGTCAAAAACGCAATATATTTACCGTTAACCGTCAAATAAGCAAGCCAATGTTAGCCGTCAAATGTCTCAGATATACTTAAGTAAGAACTAAACGATTACCTTAATTGGGGTCAAGTTCTGTTGTTTATAAAGAAAAGTTTTGATATATCACAGAAATACATTTATGTAAGTCCTTTAACTTCTAATCGCGAGTAAAACTGGTTAGCGGCAGAACTGACTTCGGCTGTGGAAACACTTTCGGTGTCGTAAAACGTTGGTCCTTTATTAATAAAAGGTGTTCTGAATTTAAAGTTCTTTGCAAACGCGTCATTATGAAAAATTACGGCCAAATTCGCGCGTTTAGTTCGTTTTGTAAACGACATTCGAAAAAATTAACCGTCAATCGTCAAATGATCTAATATTTAACCGTCAACCGTCAAAAGGGCCTATTTTTAACCGTCAACCGTCAAAGTGACCCCCTCCCCCCCAATTGAGACCCTCTTTCACCTCATTGGCAGATTGCCTTATAATCTAATAAATAAAAAAAAAAAAAAAAACTCAATCTAACAAGAATATTTAACTGCGATTTGGCGGAGCAGGAACGAAAGGTGAGGCACATTAACATCCCACTCTTTCCAACCGGAATTATTGCTAGTGAGGAGTAAGCGTAATCGAAATCTCAGGATAAGATCTCTGGTAGATATTTACAGCATAAATGACATTTCTACCAACAAAGATCATATGAACTTCATATATGAACTTCATATATCCATTGTATCCGATCACCTAGTGGTTGTGCATATTCTGGCAGGGGACCACGACTATACGCAGCCCTACGCAGCGAGGTTACACAGCCAACGAGGATACGAAGTGTAACAATCATATAGACTTATCTTAAGTAAAAGAAACTGAATTAACCAGAATAAATTCGCCTTATTCCATGGTACAAAGTAAAATGCAGCCCAGTAAGGGCTACGAAAAACATGACCAAAGAGCTATTAGACTCTTCTTAAGGATAAGCAAAAGCAAATTTACTTACCATAAAGGTCCAGTTTGGATCATTTAATGCTGCCATCTTATTGTTTCACTTTCCGTCCTTATTTCTTTTTGCCGTTCAGCGAAGTAATACCATCGCAAATTATGCGCATTCAGTTTCCTTATATGGTGAAATGATGAAATGATGGAATGATAACGACACCATTTCAACTGGGTGCCTCTTGAGGTACAGTCTGTAAGTGAGCAAGATGGTGGGTGGGTATGTCTTCATGTATTTTTAATATTAATAGAGACTATACAGCATTTAAGATGTGGTAATTTATCATTCATACACCTTGACAAAATGTCCCGTCGAACACGACAATTTCCCGCGAAAAATTTCGAAGGAAAACATAAGGAACAACCACTGTCTCGCAGAACACAGCAGTCAAAAGTCTGCATGTGCGAATTTTGTAATGGCTAAGTGGCGCGCTTAAAAGTTGTCAGAACCAAGTTTTCTTATAGGAGTTACAATCAATTACAAACGTCAGTTGGGGTGTTTTAAAACCAAATAATGTAAATGTGACTTTTGAAGAAACTGAGCCAGAATCTACAAGCAAAATTTTAAACGCGAGGCACGTGAATGGATTTTTTTTCTTGAGGTTTACACCAGCGATATAGGTAGGACAGGTACCCCAGATGAAATTATTGCTTTTTTTTAATTTAACTGCTTGCTCAGAAACATGGATAACTCCTCAAGTCGATCCACATCAATTTCAAACATCAGAATACAACATGATCACATACAATCGCATTTCTTCAATAGGTGCCGGAGTTGCTTTTATTCTTAACGTAGATGGAATTTAGAATATTTGGGTGGATGCGCAAGACTTGATAATAGGCGTAATCTACAACCCCCATCTAGTAGGTCCCAAAGACAATTTCTCGATGAATTTGAGCAAGTTTTGCACACCATTTGTTTGTCTAGGCGCGAGTGTTTGCTACTAGGTGATTTTAACATTAACACGGTTTCTAATAGCAGTAATCAAAGGGTTTTAATCCCTTGGCATTCGAAGCAACGCGTAAAACTGAGACAAAAATTAGCTGCTCAGATCATATTCATTCGAGTTTTGTGACTTCAAATACAAGTGGAAGTATTGCAGCAGAAATTGTTGATCGCTTGCCTGTCATTAGCCTTGTATACGATCCAAATTGTAGCCCCATTCCCGACACAATTCAAGTTGGAGATTTTAAAAAATTTGATAAGATTGCTTTTCGAAATGCATTAAGGAACGCAAACTGGGGTTCTGTCCTCGTGTACCGGTTCACAAGAGCCGTTACAAAAGACCGAACAATACACAACAGCTAACCAATGACTCCTAAACAAAGAAAGAACAATGGTAATTCCCTTGTGAACCGGTACACCAGGACAGAGCCCAAACTGGTTGCCCTTATATAATAGCAGTGATGCGAATGAAAGTTGTTGCATAATCAGCAATTCACGCAGCCATTTACGTTTTATCACAATAGAATCGTTGCTAATTAATGTACATTGTAGTGTGACCGTAACATATGCAAAATGCTAGCAGGTATAAAACTCGCGAATTTTGGCTCTACATATTGTTATTATTACTTGGATTAGTGTGCGCGCGAATAAAGAACTTTTTTTTTTACAGAACCGAGTAGTTAACAAAAGTCTGTCGAGATTCCTTCACATTTTTAACAAAATTAGCAAGGACAAGGACCAAGTAAAACAAAATACCTGGCTTTCCAGCCCCGACAGAGAAATAATGACAATATCTTATCCCCCCCTGAAATTAACTGACCAATACCTTGAACAGTCTCACACTGTTAAATACTAAATATTTAGGATTAGTTATCGATTGCTTTCTGCCATGGCAGGATCATGTTGATTATATTAGCAGTAACATTAGCAAAAGTCTCAACACGATCGCAAAACTGAAATGACATGTAACAAATAAATCTCTTATAAGTGTATACTATACTATAGAAAAATTCACTGCCTGACTCGCGATGGAGTGCAATATCAGTTTTTCAAGTGAAATTTAACGTGGAATTCACGAGACAGGCAGTGAATTTTTCTTGAATCGCATAACTGAATAAAAAGAAGAAAACAAGATATTAAAACGGCAATATTATTGTTTGTTTTTATCCTGTACGCGCGCCCTAGAAAGCCATTTTAAAGTCAACTGTCAGAACTGTCATTGCAAAGCAAGGTAAGTCGCTCACGTTTGAACCGTCGACAATATTATTTGTACCTAGTGAATCTTTCTTGAATCGCATAGCTAAAGCCAACAAGTCACTGGGCGAAACCAGATGTTTTGTATTTTTGTACGCCACGTCAGTCATATGATTCAAATTGTCCGCCATCTTTTTTCCCGTAACTTTAATCCAATTCTTCGCTTGCGCGATGCGAGAAAACCTGTCTAACCGGCTTTCTAGAGTACAAATACCGCGTGATATATGTACTTGTCTTTGGCGTTATTTGTCCTCTACGAATTGTAGTTGGATAACAAAAACGGATAACTGAGATACAAGCATGAGAGTAATAGTTAAATTAATTCAACATAATAATACGTTCTTGAGCGGGACGTTTCAAAACAAACGCTCATCAAAAGCATAACATTGACTCGTATAACGAGTACTGTGCGCAAACTGAAGCACACGTTTAGCATTACGTAATTATTTCTGTATTACTTCGCTGTCGCCATTATCCGAAGTCATTTCTTCGTCAATAGAATCCTGAGGAGTGCCTTCAATCGGGAGGGTCTCGTGAAGATATTTGAGCAGGCCTCCATCAGCAAGGCAACTCAGATTTTTTGGGCAAAGCTAGTTTTTAAAGAAGCTTGCATGTGTCTGTGTACTTTTTTTTTTTTTTCAGAATGACAACAGTACAGATATAGTGGATTCATTAGATACTGCTCCAGATAATTCAGAAATCGAGATGATTCAAGTGAATAATGGTTTTCGGCGTGCTCCGGCCACGTCAGAATTTATGGATGTCGGTGTAACAGATGAGTCAGAAATCACGGATAAAGTTAATTCGGATAAATCAGAGATGATGGCTATTGAGAACATACATAATAGTGCTGACAATGGTGCTAGTGCTTAGGATACGACAGAAATCGTAGGCAATGGTGCTAACTCTGAAATCGTGCTGATCGGGACATGTCCATTTCAGTTGTCACAGATAACAGTGTTCTGGAAAAGTCACAGAAGTCAGTTGTCATGGATAATGGTGACCCAGATAAGTCAGATATCGTAGATGGTATGCACAATTCTTCCTTGGATACAAATGTATATAATGCACTGTGGTACTTGCCAAAAGTCCGGTGATATAGACGAGGGCCCTCAGCAACCTATCTTGAAGTGCTACGACCCAAAAAAACTCGGCAGTGAATCTTTTTCTACAGATTTCAATCCAGCTTGGTACAAACGTTATCCATGGCTGAGCTACAACTGTGAAACAAATACAGCGTGCTGCTACCCATGCCAGAAATACTTAAATGCCCACGATTTCACGTTTGACAATTGGAAGAAGATAGAGCGTCTCACTAAACACCACAAGTGTGAGAACCATCAAACGGCCATGGTGAAATGGATTGATGGCAGAGCAAATAAAAAGAAAAATGCTTCAATACTGAGCAAACTCCAGGAATCACACAAACAATATGAGAAGGAAAATCGCGACTACTTGAAAGTTATCATTGAATGTCTCATGTTCACGGCCCAACAGAACATCGCCCAACGGGGCCACGATGAACAACGGGATAGTTTGAGTAATAGCAGTGATGTAAATAGAGGTAATTTTCTGGAACTAATTCACTTGCGGTGCAAGGACATAGCTTGGCTGAAGGATAAACTTGAAAGCTAGCTTCAGAAGCATACACAGGGAAATCTCCCGTGATACAAAACGAACTGCTACAAATTATCGCTGACCTCACTCGCGCCAGCGTATCACAAACGACAGTATGGTATCATCTTGGACGAAACATCAAACATTAGCAGAACAGAAAAAGTTTCACTTTGCCTTAGTTTCGCCCTGAATGGGACAATGAAAGAAGCATTCATTGGTTTCTACTCCACAAAATCAACCGAAGGCGAAGTACTGTTTGAACTGGTGGAATCTGCTATCACTGAACTCAATCTTGATCTCAAGGACATATTTGGTAAAGCATTCGATGGGGCGGCTAATATGGACGGTGTACACAAGGAACTTTCAACAAAAATGGAAGAGTGCTCCCGGCTCGGTATCTACGTCCACTGTTACGGACATATGCTCAACCTCGCCCTTCAGGATACTATGATACAGACTGAACCCTTGCGAAACGCTCTGGGAACTATCCAGGCTCTGTACAACGTTTTAGAAGCGAGACCCAAACGACACGCCTTGTTTAGTGACATAGAAGTACAAGGTGAGGATCTAAAACTGACGCTGAAGTCATTAAGTACCACGCGATGGACATGCCGGTGGGAAGCTGCAAAGGCCGTACACGGGTAAATGGAACGGATTGTAAAAGCCCTGCTCACACTGTCTTCAGACAAAGATCCGAAAACCTACTCTGAGAGCAGAACCTTATTGAATGCCATTTGCGACTTGGAGTTTGTCTTTGGACTGTGTGTACTGAAAGTAATCCTGACCAACAATAATAGTCTGTGCCGATATCTTCAGGGGAAGACGGTCCACGTCATCTCCGCTCGTAGGAATGCCTACTTGACCATTCAGACCCTACGCCAGTGTCGGAGTGAAGAAAGTTTCAAAAGCGTATGGCAGTTAGCATCAGCAATGGGTCTGAAAATGAAGAATTGGCTGACCAATTCTAAGTTTGAATTACGAGAAACCAGGGCATCCAGACAAACGCCGTCCCGCCGCCTTTAAGCCCTTATAGCCCTTATAATTTTGGCCTTTATCAACTGTGAATAACAATGAATAAACCTTTAAACCACTTGAAATTTAGAGTTGAGAGATTTGCATTGTTTTACAGTGGTTAGTGTGGTTTCATTCCTAGTTTTGACTACATTAACATTTAGTAACCGTCATTATCGGCGGGAAAACGTGCAATGTTCCCGTTCTTTTCGCTTTTGTTCCCGCGTGACGGGTGCGTCAACCTAAATTTTTTTTGTCATTTTTTGTTACTTACTAGAGACCACGCCCTTGTTTGCGACACGCCGAAGACATTGAAAAGTGTTTTAATTTGTTGCGATTTTTGAGACACAATGGCAGGCATTGTTTTGGAGAGGTTAATGAATTGGCTTGAAGGTCGCTTGACCTCATTGTCAGATGAGGAAGAGATAAATGATTTAAGACAAAAGTTGCTAGATTTTGAGTTTCACTTCGCAGAAGATGATGATTTCCATCAAGTCATTCCACAAAATATTTCACTTAAAAAATAAAATGTAGGTTTTAAAGGCTTTTAAAAACATAAGAGGTAGGTGCTCTTAGCATTGTTTTCTTTCAGTGGTTGCTGGAAGAAGTGTTTTATTTATTTATTTATTTATTTAACTTTTATGATTGCCGTAAGACGTTTCTCTCATACCAAAATTCACAATTTCTAAAAACTTTGGCTTTTTTTACAACCACAGCTTCTTCGACATCTGTAAGTCATTCGGTTCCCTTTTCGGCAGCCGTAGGTGAGTTTTCTTACACCATCACCAATTTTTTATTTTATGAAAAGTTTTCTTGTTAGACGTTCGCACCGTTGCTTCGTCCGTAAAATGGTATTTAACAAAGGTTTTTATTTATGTATTCATTTAATTGCAGTACCTTTCACTAGTGCGAATTCAACCTCACAATCTGGTTAGTGTGTTGCGTCACTTCCTTCTAGTTTTACTTCCTAAAGGGAACAAACGGCAGTTGCATAATAATGCTATTATTAGTCATTGTTTGTTTCACATATGGTTTATATAATGTATGCAGAGCGCTTATTGCATGTGGAGTCTCCGTAGCTTAGTGGTCAAGGATCGGGGTGGGGAATTTGAAGGCTCCGGGCTCCACTCCTCACGGGGACTCAAAATGTTTTTCATTATCTCACGCTCCTGACGAGACGAAAAAACATCTTTTACTCTTTCTTTACCGAGCTCACAATTTACTATCTTTCTTATTCTTATTATCAACCGGTTTCCTTTTTGATAAATCTGCCTGGAGGGTCAGAATGGCAGTGAATATGATCTCCAGCGAAAGTGGTAAGCGAATGTCGTCATCACGTGATATGTGCACTAGTAACAGCTTTACCTCAATGGAGGGGATATGGCATCGTAACTTTGCCGCAAAATATAGCACAAAAGATCCCATGATATTCATAATGGCGCAGCGACGAGCGTAGAAAAAAACTGGAAATTGGTTTACTGACATTTGGTATGCGTTTGGCATTTTGAGTGTGTTACTGTCAGATATATAAAGTGTTCACTGATGAGCTGTGTATTTCCTGGATTGTATTTCTTCATATTCCTTTCACATTGTCTTCATTGTTATAAGAATAATGTACCACCTTAAATCCTCACAACTTAAATACAGTTCCACTAACGAATTACCACTCCAGAAGGGACCTCTTTTCCAGCACATTTCTTTTTTTCAATTAGTTCTTTTCATGGATCGCTCTACCATGATCGAGGTCAGGGTGTTTTGTATCGTGTGTTTCCGGCGCACAAAACTGCCTTTAATTTGTACGAAACAACAGAATTTCATATAGGTAATAAGGTAGACACCAAACATATTACTGATTTGAAGAGATGGATGCAAACTAACTCGTGTGAAGAAATCGAGCTTACATTAAACTGAAATAAACTCAGCTGACTTTAATAGAACAATTAACGGAAATAGCCTAGAAAAAATGAACACTCGTGAAACCGCACACAGATTCATTTAATTTGATTAAGTTAGTGATTATCTAATTTTACCACACCGGGTGTGGTTTTGTGATATAGGATATAGTGACACTTGGGAGTTTTACAGAGCAGAACCTTGACGGTAGTCTTGAATACGGAGAGCGTTTTATAAAGAGAACAGCGAGTTTCGAGATTTAGAGCCTTACGGAATATTGAGCCTTGTAGCACAGAAGGATTCAGCCAATAAATTCTTTACAACCTGTGACAACGATGGCCAAGGAAAGAGAGGACTAAAAGAGTCTTCCAAAAAAAATTAAGGCTAAATTTTTCAAGAAACTGTAATTCAGTTGGCGCCTTTTTAAAAAAATGGCGTAGATTTCGTGAAGAATGTATTGTTATTTTCCATGATGTTGATATCAGTTGCCATTACTATTTACGGTACTATATACAACATTATCAAAATATTCCATCACTAACCATGTCGCGACGTTTTTGTGATTGTGGATGAAAAATTAATGGGGATTACCGTTTAATTCAAGATGGCGGCCTCCTGTCGTCACTTTAAGTTTGCTTTTAATAAATAAGTTGTTTTGGGAAGATCTGACTTATTTTCTCAAATAGGGTTAAGGTTTTATGCTCCGTTGTCAAGACATAGAAAACTTTATTGAAAACGGCTGGTAGTTACCGCAGTGCAGGAAAGCATTATCGTTCATTATCAAGCCTTTTTGCAGTTCTCACCAAGTAACCGTTCATGTTGAGGTATTCACTTACTTTTCATTAACGCCAGTATTTTTGTTAGCAAGTAAATCTGTTACTTATTCGAAAGTGTGGAAGCGCGGTGGCCTCATGGTTGGAGCGCTCGACTCTGGATCGAGTGGTCCGGGTTCGAGCCCCAGCCGGGGACATCGTGTTTTGTTCTTAGGCAAGACACTTTACTCTCACAGTGCCTTCCTTCACCCAGGAGAATTAAATGGGTACCAGCGAATTTAATTCTGAGGGTAACCTTGCGATGGACTAGCATCCCATCCAGGAAGGGGGTAGAAATACTCCTAGTCGCTTCATGCTACGGAAACCGGAGTTAAGCGCCGGCCCGATGAGCCACATGGCTCCTGAGTAGGCTTTGCCTTACCCTTATTCGAAAGTGGGTCAGAAGGAGGACTTAGCCCACATGGAAGTTAGTATGATGTATTCTTTCAACATGCGAAAGAAATTCAGTAGGTTTGTCTTTAACAGTAGTTTAAATAGAGCAACAAGATTTCCAGAGTAATTCATTGAATAAAATAATATGGAATTCTTGAATCCAGAAAAACAAAACAAGTACAAATATCTTTCTTCCCCCCCTCCCCGCCCCACGCCCCGCCCTAGACTTCCGACATGCACATGTTACGGGCTACATTTACACTTACCCTTTCTAATGCAACAGTATCATTTCTCAGGTATAAAGATGACTTACAACAAAAATTGGCCGCAGAAAAAGAGGCTTTTAAGGTGCAGTTAGCTGGGGCTCTTGCTCAGTTACGAGGTGTGGTATCAGTGATAGAGGGAAGAGCAGATGTTGAGAAACAAAATAAGCGGGCGCAAAATCTGTGGACAGCTTGTCAGTCGCTGACTATAACTCTCGACAAAGGTGCTACTCAACCAAAACCGCTGCTGCCTCAGTTGACAGCCATTCACCATGCGGCGGCAGAGGATCCACTGGTCTCACAAGTTCTTAACTCCTTACCAGAAGAAGCTGTGTTAAGAGGAGTGCTGAACGAAGAGAATGTGACGCGTCGCTTTTACAAGATCCGGAGATGGTGTCGACGAGTAGCCATGATAGGAGAAAATGGAGCTTCACCATGGACTCGCGTGCTGTCGTACATCCAATCTTTCCTAATTTTCGATTCATTTGATCCCGTAAAGCATACTTTTGATCTCCTAGCGCGCGGAGTACTACCTTCGGTGTGGAGATCTGGAGTTAGCAAAGCGAGTGGTAAATTAGCTACGCGGGGAGCCTAAAAATGTAGCGCGTGATTGGTTGCTGGAAGCCAGGTTGCTATTGGAGACGAGGCAGGCTGTCAACTTCTTGACTGCATATGCTGCCGTATTGGGGACAGCGGGGGCTGATTGATTAGAACTTAGAGGTACAATTATTTTTGAAAGATAGTGCTAGTAAACTGTCGTTGATAAGTGAGGATTCCCTTCAAACTTCATTTTCGACTCGCGTCATGTACTTTATCTTCTCCTGCTTTATTTTTAACATGATTGGCGGAACGATATGGATAAAAGGGAAAAAGAAAGCTGTTCTATAAATTTGTCATAAACGTGTAGACTGAGTTCAATTTAAAATGATGTTTCTTTTCATTGAAGCTTTGACCAAACATTGTAATGGCTCTAAGTGTCTCAAACCTTTAACAATGTTTGTCAGCCGTAATTATGTAACATCAAACTGTATTACACAAAAACTCTGATGGCTTAGCCATCTTATGTAACTTGGTTTCGAGGGAAATTCGTCAATGCATTTAGAAAAGGTTTTAAGGGGATGGAGCTTCGTAATAACGCACTCTGCCTCTGCAAAAGTACTTGGTTGACTTTGTTTGACAAAATTGCACCGTCCTTGCGCAGCAGGAAACGCGCGTCCAGAGTGAAAATTTCAGAGTTCTTTTATTTATTTATTTACTCTAGTTTCAGGAGTAC